AAGATAACCTTATTAAATACGCGCCTAAAACGACTAGCGTATCATTATTTTGGGTAGGGTCGTGAAATTTGCTAAACGGCCCATCCCGGAATCTAAGTAACTTTGCAAACACGTATAGAGGGCCCCACAACTTGTGATTTATTTTGGCGAAGCACGCCTCATTTATTTTAAGGATATCCTAGAGTGACTACATTTCTATTAAATTCGTCTCTAAAATAAAAGAGAAAATCCTAATTAATTACATGCTTGAAAAATAGGCGTAACATATTAAATGCTAGGTTAAGACAAATGTTAATCGGAAAGGAATATTAATAAAATTGAAATTATAAATAAAATACGGAATCGACAAATAATATATTCAAAAGAAACTAATTATCCTATAACTAGATTAAACTCGCATTGTTAGATGACTTGAACGTTGGAATTAATTATTTACAACTATTTGAAACTAGAATCAATCTTAATTACTGATGCATATTCGAAAGTTTATTAAATTCAAGCGTTAACTCGTCTTGTTTGAACTCACATCATGCCATAATGCCTAATTCACGAAATTAATTTAAATTCATGCTTTAACTAAATTTAGCTACATATTCACGATTAACCTACTGTTGACAATATTAAAACCTTCATAGCTAGAGAACTATCCAGTTTTGCCAAGCCGATTCACTAAAGACCAACTTATGTTATTTTCCTCTTATTCCAATTATTAAACAGTTTGACAGTAATGAGCATGCTTAAACATATACTACCTAATATCCAAACTAAAGCAGAGTATTATTTAATACATCACTACAAGATGCCTAGTTATGCAAAGCGATAGAAATTTACAGAATATTAATACATGACATAGCCTAAATACAATCAGTAAAAGAAACGAAGAAAAAGCTAAATTAAAACTTCAAAATTTCATTCTTCATATGTATTCATGCTTTCATATTTCAGCTTACTATATCGACAAGGTTACAGCCATGTACCTGGTATTAAAAGTAAAAGAAGAGGAAGATCAGCAGTAGCAAAGCAACAAGAACAATCAACAACAACAGTAGCAAATTGAACACCCAGGGATGGATTTTAAAACCAATAGAGATGATTCCACATCCAATAACAGATTCAAAATAACCCAACAGCAACACCAATACCAGAAACCCAAGCATTCAGTGAAACAACACTCCAAAACCAAAAGAAAACCCAGGAAAACCAATCTGAAAATCAGTAGTACCAGATGCAAACCACAGAAGCAGTAATAGTATTCTGATTCTCAGTAATAAAGAAAGGCTTCACTTTCAATTTTTTAATTCTCAGAAACTGAATTTCTTAAGTTCTGACAACTCGGTTTTCTTTTCAACTTAAGCTCTGAATTTTTGATGATAAAATCCTTAATTGGTTATATTTTTTTTAACTCTCTAATTCTAACTCTCCAAGGTTTTTTTTCCAAGTCCCCCTAAATTCTGTCCAAACTCCTCTTATTTATGTCCCAAAAACAGAAGTATTTAAATTAAATCTCACCATCTTCTCCTCATCCCCCTTTTGAATCCCACAACTTAATGTTTTGTCCCCACTATATTAAACAATGTATTAATTCCCATTAACACATATCTTTTCCTTATTTAATTCCCTTATTGCCCCACTACCGCATGTTTTGTTCCCCACTATATTAAACAATGTATTAATTCCCCACCATTATGTCTTGTCCTCCACTACGTATTAGTTTATGCATTATTTTAATATATTAGCGCTTAGTGGACAAAACACTCAAATTAATCAATTACTAAAACTTAACATCCCGAAAATGCCCCTGAAACTACCGAATGCTTGGTGATCTACCCCTGAAAATACTGCAATTTACCGTTCTACCCCCATCAGCTATAACCAATTCACCTAATCAATTAACCAAATACAGCAGCTATAACCAATTTCTAATCAAATTTCATCAATAAATTTAACCTAGAAAATCAGATTATGTCAAATATCATCAAAACAAAGACTAAGGATTCAGGGAACCAAACCATATGATGAACAATAAAGAAACAACTAAAATCATTTTGACTGAACAACATTTTTAACAACAAACATACTTTCAGATTCAATAACAGTAACAAATTGAACATAACAAACAAGTAGATTCAAATCACTAAACTTAATAATCAATTGAACTTCAAATTTAATCTAACAACATTACAACCAAGATAAAGGATTTAAGTAATTAAACTAACACACTTCTATATTAAAACTAAACAAGAACAAATGAATAAAAACAAACTAAAGAAATAATCAAGAAATGAAAAACAAAGAACAAGAAAAGAATAAAAAATATACTAATTTCAGATCCGAGAATATCAAACAAAATACGGATAGAAATGAAACTTAAACCAACTAATCGGAAATGAACAACGACGGAACAGAAACTCGGACAGCAACCTCGACGTACCGGATCTCGACTCAACGAAAACCCACCTTCTCTTTTAACCTCGACGAACTCAGACTGGACCTCACCGAACGACGAACAACGACGGACTCAAACAAAACCAAACGAGACCTTGAGCGGATGGCAGCTCTTAGTCAGGCTCGAACCAATGAAAGCACACACGAGCTCCATGATGAGATAGAAATCAAAACCGGCATGGAGACGGGAGGCGGACTGGTCGTTTGCTCGTGCGATGGGCTGAAGAAGAAACGACTGGAGGGGTTGTTTGGTTCGCTGAGGGAGATAGGACTGTGTGGAGGTTTAGGGTTTGACGTGAAGGTGAGCTGGTCGACTGGAGAGCTGGGCAGCAGTCGCAGCNCACGGACAAATACAAATAATTATCCAAAAATGCCACGAAATTCTCAAAATTGCACACAAAAGGAGAATTGTTTTATTTTGAATTTTTTGGGAGTAATTCTCACATAGGGCAAAAATCACGTGCTTACACGCACTCCGCCAACTCTGCGTATTTTGTCAATACCAGAAGTATTTTGTACGTGTACGGAGAAAGCTGTGCCGGGAAAACCTGATAAAATTGACTGAATTCTTCTGCTAAAGGGAGAAGGGGGAAGGAATGACCAATCACAAAGGGGTATACATAAAATGTACAATACCCCGGTCTATGGACCTCTATGAAGTCCCTTCTCGCTGGAACCATCTCAATATGAGGGGGAATGTTGTATTTAGCGTGGAGGGCATCGATATGGACCTGCTCTGTTTTAGATACTAACAAAGCTGGAGTAGGAGCATGTTCTTTAAGAAAGTCACTTTGAGACATGGGGTATCTCGGCAGTAACTCTTCCACGGTGGAAAAACTATCCCTTTCCTTCATTGTCATGTCCTCGCCACCAGATGGGAGCGCCATAAACATCGGGGTAGCGTCAGAAATCCTCTCACGAGATCGATTTGTTCTAGGCATATCTATGATGGGAGATATGTTGATAAAATAGAAAAAGCTAAGAACGGCAAACGGAGAAGAGAAAGTAAAGAAATCGCTAGAGCAAAAGCGGAAGGGATGAGAAGGAATAACCAAAGAAGAAATGGCCAAGAGTTTTTTAAAAAACAAACCCTCCACCTATTTATAGGATTGGGTGGCACCAAAATCGAAGCGAAAGGCTGCAAAATGGCACCAAAATTCTAGCGACAAACCATCAGCCTCTGTCTCGGAAATACGCATAATGATGACGCACATGGAAGTGATGTCATTTCCCGACCACCCAGGATATCGTTGAGCATGCTAACCTTCTGTTGTTGGCCAAACCATTACAATTCATAAGCCAAATTTCTCCGCAGGTGTGGGCGATGTCCGCTTATCGAGGGCGCATCAAAATGCAACCTCGAAGTGGAGGGACTAACTGTATAGGCCCAAATTTGGACGACCACGGCCACTGGCGAATACGACAAGGGACGAGACCCTTACAACACAGCGTCCTTTGGTCGTTGAAGAAGGCGACGACCGACAACAGTTAGAAAACGCACGACATTTGTAGTAGTGTAGGCGCAATATGAGGCAGTAGGAATATACTTTCAAATATTCTTTATGTTATACCTTTTAGGGTTCAAGAGGGGATTGTCCCTTATAAATAGAGGGAGAAGACTCTGTAAAAGGGATCGAAAAATGAATACAAAAAAAGGATAACCTTCATTTATCACAGTTCTGAGATCCATATATCATATTTACCTTTGGCTAAGAGCATCCATTGCAATATCTTTCTATATTCAAAGTTATCATATTTACGCTTAATCATTCGGTTTCTGAGATCCATATATCATATTTACCTTTGGCTAAGAGCATCCATTGCAATATCTTTCTACATTCAAAGCTATCATATTTACGCTTAATCATTCGGTTTCGAGATATTAAGAAACATTATTCATCTTGTTCATCCCTTGCATCTTTCAATCTAGAGTATATTATACTTGACTGAGATTTACCTCTTCATCTTTTTTAATTGATTTAATCAAAAAGGTTTCAATATCTTTTGGTCAACCAATTACCATATATTCTCTCAATACCAAGAAATTTTCGAAAATAAGTAATCAATAATCTCTTCACCACATACTCGAAGGATATCGAATTTACTAGAGCTAATTATAGATAACGCCTGCCCATCATCAATGACGGATCCACATAGCTTTGATACCCCTTTTGCCAAAAATATTGCACTCTTTAGATAGGTAAAAATTATTTTTGTATGTATATATATTATGTATTGTACTCCTTTGACTAATTCGTGCATTTACTTCTCTAAATTTTAATATCCTTTAAAGAAATCCTAACTCCACTAATGGTAGTCCAATAGGCTATAGCTTATAGGCCTTACTTATACCACACATAATCAAAATATGGCATTTATTTACCCCACCTATACTCAAATTATGATCATACCTAATATCTTATTTATAAGTTGGGTCAAGTACACTAGTCCAAACTTTCAACATTTAATGAAAAAGGCAGAACCCACAACCACAAAACATTTGACACATCCAACATATATAGGAAGGTACCACTTCTATTCATCACCATTTCATCATTAACTTTATTTCAAACATGAGCAAATTAGAGCTGGTGTTCGTACCTGCTCCGGCCGTTGGTCATCTTGTTTCAACATGTAAATTTGCTGAGCATTTGCTCAGCAAAGATCAAAGGTTATGCATAACAATTCTCATCATAAGGCCACCTGCACCATGGGATGCAGGTATAGATGTCTACATGAAGCGATCTTCCTCTACTCCCGAGGGCAGTAGAATTAGATATATCACACTTCCTCGAGTCGAACCACCATCTTCAGACAAGCTAGAAAAGTCTTTAGAGAATTACTTCTCTCTTTTAATAGCCAGTCATCGACCACTCGTTAAAGAAGCAATCATCAGCAACAAATGGCCTGATTCGAACCCGAAAACCATTGGATTAGTCATTGATATGTTTTGCAGTTCAATGATTGATGTAGCAAATGAACTTGGAATTCCTTCCTATCTTTTCTTTACTTCTGGTGCAGGTTTTCTTGGTTTCTTGTTTTACCTGTCCGTTTGGCATGAAAAATTCGGGAGAGAATTTAATAAATCTGATTCTGATTTAAACATACCAGCCTATGCTAATCCTGTACCCTCAAAAGTCTTGCCTATGTTCGCGTTTAACAAAGAAGGTTTCAACTCATTCCGCGAACATGGTGTTAGGTTTAAAGAAACTAAAGGAATTCTTATCAATACAGTAGCAGAATTCGAAAATCATGCTGTAAATGCCTTAGCATCTAACCCTGAATTGCCTCCAGTTTATACAGTAGGATTTCTTGTTGATCTTGAGGGGCAAAAGACTAAGGGAAATTCCAATATTGAGTATGAAGAAATCATGAAATGGCTAGATCAGCAGCCACCTTCCTCTGTTATTTTTCTCTGCTTTGGAAGCTCAGGGATTTTTGAGCCACCACAACTAATCGAAATGGCAATTGCACTTGAACAAAGTGGAGTAAGTTTCTTGTGGTCAATACGCCGGCCTGTAGATGATGAATATGCAAAACTTGAGGAGATATTGCCAGAGGGATTTTTGGAGAGGACTAAAAACAAAGGAATAGTATGTGGTTGGGCACCCCAAATCGATATCTTGGCTCACAAAGCTACTGGAGCGTTCGTGTCTCATTGTGGATGGAATTCGACTTTAGAAAGCCTATGGCATGGAGTTCCAATTGTGACATGGCCCCTTTATGCTGAGCAACAAATCAATGCGTTCCAATTGGTGAGAGATCTCGAGATGGCGGTGGAGCTGAGATTAGATTACAAGATGCGCGGTAGTGATCGTGGTGAAATTGTGAAGGCAGAGGAGATGGAGAAAGCTATAAGATGTATTATGGACAGGGAAAATCCAGTGAGGAAGCGAGTTAAAGACTTGGGAGAGATATGCAGGAACGCGTTAATGGAGGGTGGATCTTCTTTCAATTCTATAGAAAGATTTGTTGAAACAATTCTTGATTCCTAGAATTGAGATTAGAAGAATTTTCGAATCCATATTCTGTTAACGTAGCAGAATCTTATGTTACTTTTGAGGAATGAGTAGAATGAATCAAATAAGAGCTGTTGCTAAGGTGAATGTATTTGTCCATTAATATATTTTATCATGTGAGAACCTTTAGTATTTATAGTTCAGATCATAAAACTTCATGGAATCGCCTAATATTTGTCCCGGACATCAAATACGGCCTAAGAAACAATTTTCACCCACTCGAAATGACCACAATATATTTTTTGGCATTTTACAGCCATAAAATTGCAAATCCGCGCGAGTCCCNGCCCATGCCTTCCGCCTTGGGCCCGGATGGATCCGTCGTGGAATCGCCTAATATTTGTCCCGGACATCAAATACGGCATAAGAAACAATTTTCACCCACTCGAAATGACCACAATATATTTTTTGGCATTTTACAGCCATAAAATTGCAAATCCGCGCGAGTCCCAAATATTTGTATGTTATAGCCCATGCCTTCCGCATTGGGTGCGGTTTTCTGCTTCTCTGGTTCTAGCGGATGTTCAAATGCGTCGTTCATTACAGTAAATTGGATTGGACTTAGGAATTTGCAACTAAATAATTTTCGTTTGAAGGTAAATTTACTTAATTGAATTTGAATTGCAATAAGTAACTATGTCAACCGTATAATTCTCTGTTATGTCGAAATCATTAGTTATCTGCTTTCGGGTGTCTGTTCTATGTGATAGAAAACAGGTATAAACGGCGGAAGCAAATAGCCAGGATCACTTGCATCCAATATAGACAATACATAATTACATATTTTAATCAAACATAAAATCGATACTTATCTCTTGAAGCGTAACCGCGATCGCGAAAAGAGCCTCCAAGCAAGAGCGAAAACATCCACCAGATCATCCTCTAGTTCCACAGTCTTCCGTTGTGTGTTCTCATAGGAAAATCATGTAGTAAAAACTATGGCCTCCTTATGGAATAAGACCCCTTTATATAGCCACGGATTTTAGGGTTTAAAACATTTTCCTAAATATTTTAGGTCTTATTTTTCCATCAAGAAATATGATTCCATTTAATTTCTAATTATTCGGGGACAGAAGGGACCATAGTATTTAATTAATGAGGCTTATTATTATGGACTTAATTCGAAATATCCGAATTAATACTACCATAATAAATTACGAATTATTCCACTAAAAATTCGTAACTGCACTCCTCAGTTCATTTTCGAAATTCTTGCATTAAACCTTATTTAACTCCCCATGTTAAGATTGAGATACTAATCAAATAAATTAAATTACTGACAATTTAATTCATTGATTATTTCCTTTAGACTTTCGCTTAACTTATTTCATGTGACGGATACAAAATCCACTTGTAGGATTTACACATGAAAACTTATAAGCTTTCATAAAGGTGTATCATCAATCTCTAGACCGAGACATGAATTCCACCAACGAACTATTACTTTGCCAATGTATATCATTGTTGTTTAATTTACCAGACATATTGATCCGCGAAAGAATCTCGTCTTTTAATAAATCAAAACAATAATAATATACACAACTAATAATAATTTTATCAAGATTAAGAGTATAAGTACATTTAATGGCTAGAGAATTTATTTTATTAAGTCAGTATAAAATACTTATCTCTACTTGGTCCGTTCAATACATACAAATGGTAGTAGCACAAGAAGTTAGAATTAGACCATTCCCATAGTCAAAATAAATTATATTTAATTTTGTGCTACAATCATTCTTGATGGTTTGTCCAATTCCATCATTAGATTCTGAACATAATCTTTATACTTATAAGAACTGGTGATTTAATCTTTCGTGTATAAGCTAAACTCTATACACTAAATCATCTACTATATAAGTAAAGGACACAAATGAACATATGATCTATTTAAAAATTTATTAAAATTAAATAAATAATTGTTTCATAATAAATATTATCCAAACCAAATCCATGGTTAATAGTATATCTCCCAACAATCTTCCGCTTAGACTTTTAACCATGATAATGAAGTATTAGAATATACTATATCTGAATGCATGGTTAATAGTATATGCCCTAACACTCGGTACATTTGTTTGGCAGTGTTTGGTAGTAGAAATATCTTTCAACCAACTTTATTTTTTTCTTTGTTTGCGTTTTTAGGAGGAGGATCGTGTCAGCTAAGGGTGTTCAAAACCGAACCAAAACTGAAAATTGAATCGAAACCGAGTTTAATGGTTTATTGGTATTGGGTTAACGATTTAACAGATGAGGAACAGATTGAATTTTTTTTTATTCACGACTTATCGTTTGGGGGCGGTTTATTCAATTTTCTTAACGAATAATCCGTTAACTCGTTAAGAATATATATATGCACATAAAATTTATTTTTATCCATATATATATTAAATAATCAAAAACCCTTCTTCCTCCAGTACTCTATCAAAGTGAATTAGAATAAAAAAAAGCCAAAATAAAAGAAGTCATCTAACCGTGACAAAGACAGAATTTCCTGTTTGAAACAAGATAACAACACTAGTTACACCACTACTTCATCAGCTTTGCCTTGGCTTTAAGGCATCTTAGAATTCTAAGCATGACGAACATTTGTTTTAACAATGGCCAATTGAAAATCTTTCACATGGACTAAGGCTAATGTGCATAAACATAAATAAGATTCTAGACAGATGATTTATCTATCACGGTGTCTCTTCTGCTTCGTCCCTCTTAGTACGTCGACCACCTATTTAAACATATAGAGATTAATTTTATTTTATTTTGATTGAATTAGGCCGATAAACTGCCCGATAACCACCCGATAACCGTCCGGTAAGAACTAAACCGATACCAATCTGCCTGATATCTTATTGGGTGGCTAACAGATTAATATATTTATAATTCGATAACCGATACGCTAAACCGTTAAGAATAAATAAGCGCCTAATACACCCGATAAGCAGTCCTAGTGTCAGCTAGTAGAATGGATAATACAAATGGAACTATTTAGCATTAGGGCGCCTGATGTTTCGGCGATCTACCTGTTTGAAATTCTCTGTGTTTCACTTACCATATGTATTAATTTCTTAATTAAGCTTTTCTTTTAACTAGTATCTCGACACGTGTATTGCACGCGTTTCCATATCAATCAGTACAAAATAGTATATAATACTCCCTCGTTCTAATTTATGTGAACCTGTCTGACTGAGCACGAAATTTAAGAAAAAATGAAGACTTTTGGAATTTGTGGTCCTAAACAAATTAAAAAGGGGCTCGGAGTATTTGTGTGGTTATAAAAGCTTTTTATTAAGGGTAAAATGTAAGTTTAAGCTAAATTGTTACCAAATTTAGAAATGAGTCATTCTTTTTTAGAACGGACCAAAAATGAAATATGTTCACATAAAATGGAAATGAGGGAGTATAATATTAAAATATGTTTGTAATGAGTATTAATACCAATTTTGAAGGGAAAAAAATACAAGTTCAAATTGATTAACGATGATCCTATTCGATCGATTTGATGAACGCAAAAAGATTGGATATCTTCTAAACCTGCAATATTCAACAAATAAATTTACAACTTTTCTTGTCGCCAATTTAATAAGGGAAGAAGACGACAACCTATGTATGGGAATAAGAAGATTAGGCAGCTATTTGTGTATGGGATCGACTTTTAATTTTTTGGTAACCCAAAATATAGTCCAAATTTGATAATCAATACATTTATTATGAAGTTGACGATTAATAAATTTTCTCACGCTAATTCGATCCCAGAAAATTGGCATGTCTTTTAGTTTTTTGGTTTTCAAAATTATTGTCCAAATATGACAACCACTACATTAAAATTTTAAATTTTATGTAACTATCATGTATAGTCAAATGGATGAAAGAAAAAGTGATGGAATTATCAAAGCACGTGTAATAAGTAATTGGAAAGAAATAAAAGTACCTAATTCAATATATGCGGACGAATTTGGTTTGTTGGAGAGAGATTTTTTTTTTTTCCAATTGACAGTAACTTTCATAGGAAGAAATTAGATAATTGAGTTCGTACCTACTCATGATTTGACAAATAAATAGAGGGAAAGAGGCTACATGAATGTATAATTACTGTTATGAAGGTGAAAAGTTACAAATATTAATTGAACATTTTAATGGTTGAGATAAAATATACGGAGATAGAAACAATTTTAGGGAAATACAATCCAAACGTCACAATAATAAAGAATTTTGGTTGCATGAATTAAATTCATCTTTTACTCTTGTATCTGTACTATTTATTTTACCAATTATTGGAAAATAAATTTACTCTTTGATATAATAATATCACTGCATGAGAAATCTCCAGGTGAAGGTTAAAATAGTCATTCAGTTTTTGATGGATATTTTAGTAATTTAATTTTGACTTAAAAGTTTCAAACTTATAATAAAGTATGATATGATATGACTTATTATGTTCTTTTTTTAGTCTTTATTTAATAGAACTTTAAGAAATGAGTTGTGAACTTAGTGAGTGTCACGATCCAAAATCTACTAAGGATTGTGATTGCGACGGACATCACTGTCAGGCAAGTCAACACCAAGAAGTTAATTGAATTCCCATTTTAGTATTTATTGAAATCATTTCTTTTATACATTAAATAATAAATAAGAAATTCACTGAATAAATAGTGATGTCTTTAACAAACTTAAATATTGAATAATCTCATAGTCATCCCAGAACCCGGTGTCACAAATGCATTAGCAATTTCTAGGAAACAGTGTAATACAATAACCGCCCGGAATACAAATTAGATAGTAGAGAAAATACAATACAATACTCTGAAAGAGACTCTGCTGACTGGGGTCGTCTCGAGAGGTGCAACTCAGCTTAGTCTCCGTATCAACCATGCCGCTGCTCCAAACTAGGCCACTAGACATACATGTGTCTGTGCAATAAAAATGCACATCAAGTATAGTATGAGTACAAAAACATCGTGTACCTAGTAAATATCCCGTCTAACCTCGAAGAAGTAGTGACGAGAGGTCAACTTCGACACTTACTAGTAGTCCAATAATAAAATAATAATAATGTAAAAAATCATGGATTTTATAAGGTGACTGCAAACTCAATAATCGTGAAGCAGGTAAACAACTCTTTGGTTAATAGAGATTTCCAAG